TTTATGTTATGCACAACACTGCATGTCTTCTGAACCTGCTCTGTAAGCCGCAATGAATGTACGGTATGCTGCGTTTGTGTGGTGTCTGCCTCAATGCTAATATTATTGCAAGTGGCTGTTAAAGGGGAGAGGATGCCCAACTCTTCTCTGATACTCAGTGGTCCTAGGGATTGCTCCCTTCTGGAAGATCATAGGGGGCCAGAGAAACTTAGCGCTCTCCAGTCACCTAGGTCATCCCTCTGCCAATGCAGGGCTGTTACCAGACTACAATAAAGAGCCTTCCTGCTTCTGTCTGGTTTTCTAGGACTTCAGTGATGAGACTTCCAGCACTTCCCATGGGAGAAAGGGCTCTTGTGTTCACAGGGGTGTGTGGACAAGGTTCCTGCTGTCTGCCTTGCGCAGTCCTCTCTAGTCAATGCTATGTTGAGCTTGCACGCGTCCCATGAGCTCGCCATTCAGAGTGCATAAATACATTTTTCTCAGGCAAGAGCTGGCATTTGATTTAGGAGGAGATAAGGAAACAATGGACTAGCTTGGTCAGTCACATGCATCTGCCAGTTCAGCATTGTGCTGGACTCCACCGCATGCCTTCTTTACACCGTGTTGCCAGCCATTCCTTTCCTTGTCGCGCTCCCCTTCACACTCCCTACCTCCCCCTTTCCACTCTCCCTTTGGAATCTGCCTTTCTGAATGCGGCTGCAGAGAGTTGTTTCTCAACATGCTTCATATCAGGGAGGGAAACGAGAAATCTATCACACACACACACACCCCTCTCTCTGTGCAGGGCTCCACTACAGTAAAACAATCTCTAATCCATTAGCACCCTCACCCTGAACTGATACACTCAGGCCTTCCACAAAGTGCAGGGAACCGCACATGCCAAGTACAGGTCTAGAAATAAAACTTTTTCTATTTCAGTGTTTCACTTGCAGTGTATAGATGAGAGCTCTGTATGCCAGCTCCTCCTGAGAGCTCTCCTGCTGATGAGGTGTGCTAGTGCAGAGTATGTAGAGTACTGCAGGAAGTCAGAGCAGTGATTAGACCATAAGCAATTGATTTATTTACACAGCAATGTCATTAAGTAGCACTCAGTCACTTGAACGTTCAGCATTAAAATTTTGATGCCTTTTTTCCCCCCTCCTGTTCTTGTTTTCTAATGTTTTTTGCTGAGGAAAGTGTAACTATTTATTTTGGCAAAAATATACCTCTAATAAAAACTTTCTAAAAATTCTCAGCTGGGGTGATGGCTTGCTTTCTTCCCATTTCTACTAAAAGTTTATGAAAGATTTTAAATGCACTCCAAGATATACACTGAAAACTTTGGGCTACACCCAGTTCATCAAGTTCTAGGCAGCCTAATGGGAGCCACTCCTCTTGAGTGCATTGGAGGCAGTGTGGCCCAGTGGCTAGTGCACATGTGACTGGGATTCAGGAGACCTGGTTTCTATTCCCAGCTTTTACTAACGTTGTGGGGGGGGGGGCAAATTGCTAAGAATAAGTGGGGGTGTGGGAACCTGGGGCAGCCTCCCCCCAGAATGGCTGCTGCTTCCTGTTGTTTTGGGGATTGGCTAAATGGCTCTTTGGGATACAGCTCAAACTCATTTGACATAGAAAGTGTGTGAGAGATTGTGAGGTCCTTTGGCTCCTGCTGCAGAGAGAGAGCCCAGATGCAGGTCCTGTTCAGCCTCTGCAATCCGCTAACTGGTGCCAATTGCCAGGCTCTTCAAAGGGTTGAAAAAAATTGTAATGAAAGTTGAGAGTCTCCTTTACATTTCAACTTCCCCTGCTTACAAACAAGGGAGAAGAGGGAGGTTTCAGAGGGGAAAGACAACAGCGCTGCTCCTTCCACTGAATGGTAGATGCCAGGAGTGAAATCTTGGCTTCACTGAAGTCAATGAGTGTTTTGCCATTGACTTCAATGGGGCCAGGATTTCACCCCAGGGTTTAATAAGTGATATCAATTCTTGTGATATTTGGAGTTTTAGCTTTTTAAAGACCCAGCTCCTGGAGTCATTTGATTATATTAGATTCTGACCTTTCTTTTAAAGGCTCTAGCACTCTGGTGGTGGAGAAAAGTTTGAAAATGTGATCTGAGTATGTCCGAAAGGCTCCAAGTTTTTGTTTGTTTGTTGTTTTAAGGCAAAAAAAAAACCCAAAACTTGTCTGGGTTAAAATAATGAGGTTATTTTAAAATATCTCATCATTTGTGGTGGCCTGACTCCTAATTTTCAAACACTTGAGTTTGCCAATACTGACAACAGTAAAATAATTTTGCGCACTTCATGTGTTAGAGGGATGTGCAGGTTCAAGATACAGCGGGGGGGGGGGAGATTGGGGCCATATTTTATATTCTATAGTGCAGGACTGGCAGATCGAATAACCATTTTGCCTTTAATGACAGTGCTGGATTCTTTAGAACAATCCAATATCCAAGTCCTGTGCATGGCATGCACAGAATTTATAGTCATTCAATAAGGTCTTTGTGACACCTGAGATGCCTTTTATTCGTGGATGCAGGTTGTGAGTGGAGTGGGAGTGGGGATGGGGGGGGGGCCTGTGAGAACTGCCATGTAGCTGAGCACAGATGATGCTTTGCCTGTGTACTGTTTCATCTTCAGGTTGCTGTTGCTTTTATTCCTGATATTTTTCCTGCTGGCCATTCCTACATTCTTCGGACAGAGGAAAGCAGTGGGATGTGTCTGAATATTTCAGGTAATTTTCAGGACAAGTGAGGTGGAAGGGATCCTTACAACATTTTGGGCCCAATTCTTACTCCAGGCTAGGTTAAGGTATGAGGAGATGCATCATCCCAAGCAATTTTTGGGGCAGATTGTAATGCCCTTAGTTATCTTGGACTGTATGTTACACCACCAGTAGTAGTAATAGCACTTAGCTCTTTTCAGCTATAGATCTCAAATTCCTTTACAAAGGAGGTCAGTATCCATATCCCCATTTTACAGATGAGGAAATTGAGATATGGGGGGAGGGGGGGGATGTACTTGCCCAGGAGGCCAATAAGAGCCCAGAAGAGAAACCACCTCTCCTGCGTCCTAGTCTAGAGCTCTATCCCCTTGGTCTAGGTCACTGCCTCAAATCAGTGGGGAGGAATATACTATTTAGTGTAAGTAAAAGCATCACAATCTGACTCTTAGCAAAGAGATGTATAATTCTTACTAAATAGGATGTATAGTGTATGACAGATGTACAGGTATAATATGACAGAGCATGTGTAACCTTTCATCAACGACCCATATTCTCTAAGGGTCTAGTTTGGCCATATAGAATCCACTTGGAGCTGAATCAGAGTAAGAAAAATCAATTCCGGAACAATTTTTTTCCTATATACAAATTAAGGCTCTGATCCTGTAAAATGCTCAACTCATACCTTCTTACAACCCACAATTATTTGTACTATGAATCCCTTTTCCATGCCAATAGATCAAGAGAGCTTTACAGGGAGAAAGAGTTTAACTTCCCCTTGAAAATGCATATTTATTGAAGTGTGTTCCATCCCGCACATTGCCATCGCTTGGAAAATTTAGATAGGGCACAAAGTCTCCCTTCTCTTGAGATGCTTTCTACAGGCTCATCTCACTTTTAGGAAATCTCTCCTGATTTCCCCCCTAAAATGCCGCTCTCTCCTCTCTCTCAAAGGGCTGTTATTAATCTGAAGCCTTGTTAATTAAACGGGAATTAACGTTAGTTTTAGGCTTGCAACTAACACATGGCAGGACTGAGGTTGGATGACCTCACTACAGATTGCGGATGAATACAATCTGGCCAGGCTAATTTGTGTATATTCAAACTTTCCAAGTGTTCCATTGACCTGCTGCTCTTTCTAGTGTCACAGGTTTGCCCTGCCCGGCTCATTGGCCACCCTTCCTTTCTATAGTTTGCGGCGGGGGACAGATCGAAATGATGGGTTTGTTAATTTCATCCCGTTGTCATCTGGCCGTGGGCTTTCTTCCCCTCCCCCTCGCGTGTGACTGATTCCCTTTCCTGATTCCACGCACCCCTCTCCCTGAAGCGGCTGCTGGCTCCCTCTTTGTCTCGCCTTTCAGTGTCTCAGCCTGGCGACAATTAGATTAAACACACAGCCCCGCGGAGAGTTTGTGTGTCCCCTCCCCCGCCCCGTCTGTTCTCCATGGATTTCCACTCGGGGCGCTCTCCCTGCGCACGGGGTGGAAAAAGCAATAACTCCACGTGGGCATTGCAAGGTCAGCGGGCCAAATGCCTTCAGCCTCCCCCAGCGCCGCAGCCGGGCGCGGGTGGGGGCACCCCCAGAGCCAGCCCCCGCGGCAGAGGCTGCAGTGAGGGGCTCGGAGCGCCGCGCCTGCAAACCAGCAGCCAGCGGGTTAAGGCGCCTGGCGTGTGTGGGGCTGCGAAAGTTCAGCAGGGGAGGTTTGCCTTGGCTCCTGGCCCTGCTGGGCTCCTGGCATTTCCGGGTTCAGACGCCTCCAGCTGGAAGCACCGAGCCGCTGCGCTCTGCAGCCGCAGGTAACCCGGCAGCTCCCGCTCCCCGGCCCGGAGCCCAGGCGGCAGGTAAGCGGAGAGCAGCCGGCAGCTTCTCCATTTCCCCTGCGCGCGGTGCCGGGCTCCAGCAGCCGTCCCGGGCGGGGGTGTCCTCTGGAGGGATCATTTGCCAAGTCAGATGCTTTTCTGAGCGAAGTCTACAGACTCCCAGGCGAGACTTCCCCCCTCCCCGGCCTATTCTCCTCTCTGCCCTTCCTGTGGCTTCGCTTCCAAATCCCCTCGTCTGACGGGTAAAGTAGGGCTCAGTCAATACTGGGGGGCTGGATCTTGTTAGCCCAAGAAGCAGGGGGGCGTTTTCCCTGAAAGCTCTGCCCTGGGGTGCTCGCCCTGGAGCCAGTGCTAGTTAGTCTGGCTCTGCCCCTTTGGCAGGGAACTTGGGGTGCCAGATTTCCCAGCTCCTGCCATTTCCAGGGCCCTCATTTCAGAATGCTATTGATCAGTGGCCCCCACACGCTGTCTCCCCCCCCCCCACCCCGTTTTCTCTTGCCCTATGTTATTTCCATCAGGTGGGCTGAGTAATGAGCCGGTGACACATGCTTGTAAAACTCTCATTCCATCAGGCCCCCCTGCCCAACGCGTGTCCTTGACCTTTGGCTCCTTGTTCTCCATTTGCCCCGGGAGCATAGGTGCTGGAACTAGGGGTGCAGAGGGTGCTGCAGCACCACGTGACTTGAAGTGGTTTCCATTATATACAGGGGTTGTAGTTTAGTTCAATGGCTCTCAGCACCTCCACTATAAAAATTGTTTCAGCACCCCTGCCTGGCAGGTTGGTGGATGATAATTATTGCCAGGGAAACACTGGTCTGTGTTGTGAAAGGTTAAGGGGGTAGTTAATTACACTCTGGGAGTGACCAAGGAATGCCACCAGCTGGCTAGAGATACAATAGGCCTAATCTACTCTATTTGGGGGCTGTATATACTGCTGCCCATCACTGGGGTTTCTAAGCATTAATGGGGAGCGTCCCCATGAATTACCAGCTCAGTGTGTCTTCTCAGACTGAGAACTCATTCAGAGCTTTTGCTGCTTTAGCCTCTGTATATACTCCCTTTCCCTCCCCACGCCTATCAGTGCTGCTGCTCGGCTGAGTGTTTAGATTGGATCACTAATATTTGATTACCCTGAAATTGTTAGAGTGGCCTCTTGGTGTAGTAGGGTGTTTTATACAGAACATTGTCTCACACATTCATTGTGAATGTATGTTTGCTTGGTGTTTTGACTTAAGCCTTTAGCTCAGGTCCTGCAGCAATAACCATGGAGAGCAACAAGAGAGGATATTTCTGAGCTTTTCATTCTCCCTGAGCTGGAGAATGATAAAAGTTCAGCACTTCTGATTCTAAAAACCTTTTATGAAAAGATTGTGGACTGGAGCTGCTCCTGGGTTTTTAGAAGGGTACGTTTATGTCCCTGTTCACAGCTTCCTGCTTCTCATCCTGTACATTTCCAGTAGGGCAGAGAGGTGATTATGACAGTTTAAAGCTGGAGGTACTGACTGGTCATAAGCCATTAAAAGTGAATATTCTGAAGGCAGCTACACAGAGTCCAGCAAGAGAAATACGTAGACAGGGGATTAGGACAAAATTGTTGGTTCAGATCAGTTACAGAGCTTCACTTTCATGCAGACTAGTCAATGGAGCACCCTGTTCACTTGAACACTCAGCTGGCTTTATTGGATCACCTTGCCCAGATTAAGTAGGTCTGACTGTCTCTTAAATGCAGAGTAAAGCATAAAGAAATTTTTTTTATCTGAAAGCTTGTAATGTGGGGTATGTAGGTTAGTGGGGAAACTTGGCCTAATACTGCACTGGGATGACCCCCCTGAGTTGGGAATGTTCTTGCTCATTCAGAATTAAATATGCCCCTCTTCCTAGTCACTGCAGGGCTATTCTTACCCTGTCTGACTAACTATTATTAGTCTCTTTCTTGTAAAAGATGGCACCCTCCCTGGTTTAAATTTGCTGTCTTAAGCCCTCTTCCTTCCCAAATACTGCCTTATTCTGGTAGGGTGATTAAATATGGCTCTAGCCCTATAGGAGGGAGCAAACTGTAAGGCTAAGTGCATGGGACTGGGAGTTCTGCTATTGCTTTTGCACTTGTATATAGCACTATGGAGCGCATGGCACTTTACAGACAACAAAGATATGGGCTCTGACCAGAGGAGTTTACAATATAGGACCTGGATGCTGCAAGTCATTGTATGCAGGCATGCTCCCACTGACTTCGATGTGGGGGCTCCCTCCTCCTTTTTCCAATATCTACATGCAAACCGGGTGATGATCCACCTCCTCTCTTCATGAAACCTCCTCCCTTGCCAGTGTCTGGATGCAGATGACATTCAGTGCGCAGAAGGGGGTGATGCATGAGTGGGGTGTTGGTGACAGCTATAATGGTTCTCTGCTAGCTGAACTTTCTAAGTCGGAGCCAGGAAAGCGTGGTGCTTTGCAAAGGAAAGCCCTGTCTTTGAACCCTGGTGCCTTCCTCTCATCCACACGTGAGTATGGACGACTGCAGTGACTGTGTATGTAACCTCAGATCCTTCCTGTGGGGCTTCCTGAAAGCAGCAGGGGAAAGAGGCCAATGACTGCAAGCCTCAGATCCATATAAATGTCAGTGAATCTTGGCCAGGAATATCCTGCAGAGACATCATAAGCTGGGAGTGTCTCTCTCAGCTATCCAAGATTTTCTGGTGGAGATGTCCGGGAGGTTGCTGTTGTGAGCTGATGAATGTATCCTTTATAGACCGCACATGCATAAAGAGAATATCTTAAACACATAGAATCTCTTACTAAACTGGTTTACTCTGAATTCTGGGTGTAATTCAAACCTTCCTGTTCCTTTTTTAATATAGATTTTTGTTGGGATCATGCTACTAAGAAAACATATACTACCTGTCCCCTGACAAATCTCCTGACTCCCATGCCTATCCAACCACTGCCTGTCCCCCTGACTGCCCCCCCCACCCCCCCCCCCCCTCTCT